CGACTAGCTACGTGTAAACACAAACCTGAACATGAGGTGTAATTGGGAGAATCTTCTGTCTAGTGAAGCCTCTACATATAACAGAGTTAAGCAAGGTTGTATATTGGCCCCAATGCTATTTAATTTCTATATTAACTCACGGGGCCCAACTCTTAGTCAGCCAGATTTCCAAATTTCCACAATAGTAGGAAGGCACCGCTCAGTGTTATTATATGCTGATGATGCCGTGCTACTGTCAGAGACCCCTGTTGTCTTAAAGAGAACATTGCATGTCTATAACGTTAAAGGCATGAGGAAATCCTCCAAATAGAGTATGAAAAAATGAAGGTAATAATGCCTGAAAAAAAGGCCGAAGCTTTATAAATGGTTCATAAACGTTCGGATGATTGAGCAGACAAGGGCTTTAAGTACGTATGTGTTGTCTTTCAAGTAGAGATGGCCGGACTGATGTTCCATGGATTACCCTGTCTCCTCCAATAGGTGCCCACTTGGAAGCAGTACCCTGGCTTTCCTGCCCCGCCTCCTCTGGGTGCTCCCTCTGAGTGGGCGCTCTCCAGAGTGGGCAAGGCACTGAACCGCAACATTCGACTGTTGGTTGAACCAGCACGAACCGATGAACCAGTGAACCATTTGAAGCAAATGACACTTCTTGGGCAGATGCAGAACGTATTGCCCAAGCAGAACGGAGATTTGCTTGTGAAGTAGTAAAAAAAGTTTGTTTGTTTTTTTAACCAAGGGGGGAATACACACTGTTGCTTTCTGCATGTATAGATGGCACATACAGATGAAAACAGTATGGAGACTTCAGCAGGTTAAAAATGTGGCAATAAATTGATTATGTGACTAGTACATTCAACCATAAATCCCCGGTCCTCACACGCCTACGTTGTCTCCCTGTCAATTATTCCGTAATCCAATTCAAGGTGCTGGTTATGACCTATTGAGCTCTATATAGTTTGGGACCTCAGTACTGGGTTATCTCTCTTGGAAATTAGCTCCTCTCCATCCAGGTTGCTAAATGTGGCCACTCTGAGAGAGGCCAAAAAAGTGGCAAAAAGGAATTGCACTCCCTTCGTGGTGGCCCCTAGTCTCTGGAATAAGTTACCATCTGAGATACACTAGGCTTCTTGTCTATTTCTGTTCAAGAAACTGGTGGAAAACAGCATTAGTCAAAGCTGCCTTCAACAGCTGATTCTCTCAGATGCTCTTCATGTTTCTTGTTTCCATAGACCTAAATGGTTAAATCATCACATTGTTGGATGCATTTTGTCACGTGGGGCTTAAAGTTTTATCCCGTAAACCACCCGGAGTAGTGTTCGCACTAACAGGGCGGTATGTCAATCAATCAAGCAAACAAACATGTGCAAAACACACACTCTCTGTGTTCTTTCTCTAGCATGCTCAGCATCATTTTACATATGGAAATGATCAGCAGAGAAAGGGAAGGGTTTTATCTATCCAATAGCCACATGATAGACAGGTAGCCATTTCGTAAGCAGCCCATTCACTTAAAACCCGATTCCCGAAATTACATTTCAGAACCAACCCAAAGGCCATCAGACCCTTTAAAACAGGACCAGTCTATGAAAAATAAATGTAAAAAAAAACCACAATGAAAAAATGGAATGCCATTTTCTCAAAGAAAAGAGGGACACCCACCCCAGGGCATTCTGTTTTTTTTCCAAAAAGAAATGTTTGTCTTCCTCATTATGACAATGTTTTGCCAGCAAAATCTCAAGAAGGAAGGGAGGAAAGGCTGAGTAAGCAGTTGAGCATTTCACTGTAAGATCAAAACCAATGCAGGTAGTTGGCATTTGCGGCAACATTTAAAAAGAAGCATGTATTTTAATTGTTCTCACTACTGCTAAAGAGTAAGTGACCCGAAACAGGTGAAATCTAGGGTTCTTATACATTCGAGAGTAGTGCATAGAACTTCACAAGATGCCAGTTTTTCACACTACTCCTTGACATATGGAAACATTCCCATTTCATGAAAGAAACAGATGCATCACCATCTTTTTCTTCTAATGACCATGCATGTGTGTGTGTGTTTTCTGTGCTGTTGATTTGGAAGTGACTTACAGCGATTCTAATAGGTAAGTGAGCTATTTAGAGATGTTTGTTAGAGTTGGTCATGAACCAGAAAAAAACAAATCAAAAGAAGGGTTCCTGAACTGGTTCACAAATGAACCCCGAACCAGCCCGATTCGTTGGTTTTTGTAGTTCGTAGTTTGGAACCACAAATGAAGCATGAACCAGGAAAAAAACTACGAAACGGGTTGCTTCGTGGTTTGGCTTTGTGCTCTTCTCTATTGGTTTTATCAGTTCTGCCCTTCCAGGGCTTGAGCGGGGAGTGGATCTCTGTTCTCCAGAGTCCCAATAAATCACTCCATCCACTGCACCCAATTGTGGATTCCTCTAATGATCACAGTAAGGATAAAAGATTTCCTTTTTTTTTTTCAAAAGTCAGCATGTGCAACAGAAGCCAGTACTATACATATATATCCAGCGTTGGTCACAAAAACCAGATCCATTTTTGGAAGTACTGCCAGCAACAGAAGCCAGTACTATACATATATATACAAATCCAGCGTTGGTCACAAAAATCAGATCCATTTTTGGAAGTACTGCCGAAGCATGCCTGAACCATTTTGCCCTGTCCTACAATCCCAGAGAACACAGTGAAATATATCCAGCAATTATTTACAAATTATAGTACAGAAGACAGAAAACCAGTAATAGTTGTAGAAGTGAACTAGGAGTTCAAGTGACAATGAAAACATAGTTCAAATGTGAATACGATTGCTTGGCTAAGGACTCTTAAGATAATTCTTAGCGCTAAAAGCCCTGGAAAGATTGCATTGGAGTGAGAAGCACAATGGCATCAGCTGATACCAGGCTTCGGTCGCTGTTAGAGGTGGGCATGAACTTTGGTTGGGAGGTTAGTGCTGGTTCATATGCATGGCACCACAGATGCTGAACATCCCCTGCTTCCATGGCTGGATCCCCCACTCACCAGCCAGTGTGCTCTCCTCTCTTCCTCCTCTTCGGCTGTTCAACCAGTATCCCGCAGGAGCATGGACGTCCTGCCCAGCCACCTTGGCTGATCACCCACTCAGGCAAGGAGGCAGGACAGACAAATGCGTGCTCCTGCCGGGGACTGGTTGAACAGCCGAAAAGGAGGAGGAGGAGAGAGCACGCTGCTGGTGAGTGAGTCGTTGGCCAGGGAGGTAAGAGAAGGGAAAATGTAGCATCTATGGATACCAACCAGCATGAACCTCCAAACTGAAGTTCATGTCCATTTGTAGCTGAGGTCCTAAACCCACTTGGAGTTGGTCCCATTAAATGAAATAGAACTTACTTCCAAGTGTAAACATGGATAGAACTGCGATGTTAAATTGCAATGCAAATCTTTCCTTGGGCTAAGAGAAAACCCAATATTTCATTGGTGATTAGGGATGTGTTCTGTGACAAAAAAAAATCAGAGGGTCAAATTAGACATTAAAGAGAAGAAGCTTCCTCCACAATTAACCCATTTCCCCTCCTCACGATGGGATTTCTTTTGTGATAACAGCCTCCGCAATCAGATTTTCACATTAAGTCAGACTTTACCTTCCCGTGACCAGTTATGACCCAATGAATACTAAATGCAAGATACACAGGTGAAGATAATTGTGTGCTATGAGAAAGGGACTAATGTCACTTGAGGGAGCACCTCTTCTAAAAACATACTGAGCGTACTGTCTAGTTTGACCCGGAGATAAATGTTGCTCATGAATCATGATAACGGAAAGGGAGTCTCATCATTTAACAGATGTGCTGCCCCTAAAAGCAATTTTTTGTCCTAAAACATTAGAGTAAACTCTTAGAGCTTACGGTGACTTTTCCATTTCCTCAAAGTCTGCCATTCAAGGGAGCAACAACATCTACTACCTTTAAACTGTCTGTGATTGTCTGAGGAGCCTTACAGTGTCGTCATCATCACGACACTACCATGCAGTAACCCCAATTTCCAGACTCCTACATTGCTTCCAAAGAGTGCCTAGGTTTTAGATGATCTTACATACTTGCTACCCAGTTAATCTAAGAAGAATCTGCTGCTGGTCCCTCTAAACTGGTCATGTACGGACTAATGTCACTTGAGCTGTGTGTGTGAGAGAGAGAGAGAGAGAGAGAGACAGAGAGACAGAGAGAGAGACAGAGACAGAGAGAAAGAGTTGGAGGGAGGGAGAAACTTTAAAACAGTCAGGCTTGGGCACCCCCCGTAGCTCTGAGAAGGACCCTCTCAAGAACCTACAACTCGGCCCCTTGAGTTCGGGACCTAAGGATTGCCTTCCTTTATGCATGCTATTGGTGCAGATAAAGCAGCCTTGGTCAAAAGTTCTAAAGCCCATGAAGTCTCCTAATGTTAGGGTTATTCTCAAGGGTACATATACTCAACATGCATGTGAGTGTTTAGGAAATATGCCCTGAGAGAGAAGCCTAAATGGATCCTAATTATCTGAGCCTATTTGGAACATTGGCAGAAACAATGGCTACTACCTTATTTGCTATGACTCTGTTAACCATACCTGTGGATTCCTGTTACCTTCCTTCCTTCCTTCCTTCCTTCCTTCCTTCCTTCCTTCCTTCCTTCCTTCCTTCTAACAGCAGCTCCTTCCTTCCTTCCAGCATCATCTCGCTCCTTCCTTCCTTCCTTCCTTCCTTCCTTCCTTCCTTCCTTCCTTCCTTCCTTCCTTCCTTCCTTTGTTTTTATTTTAAAGAAAATCGCAGTTGCTTTCCTAGATCATGTAACTGTGAAACAAAACACCAGCGTCAGCAGAAACACTGAACGTGTTCCCTGCGCCGAAGCCTAGAGGCTCTGAGCTACAACCGAGTGAAGCTATTCCAAAGATTTATCTTACGGGCTTTACTAGGCTTTCTCTAGTGATTAACTGCAGCATGTGTAAAAGGATATTGAGACTCGGATGGATGCATCAAGAAGTATCAATGATTGTTACCTGCAGAGGTGTTACAAGAAATTTCATCTGTTGCAACGAAGACGAATTGATTTCTGCAAGAGAAGATAAAATTCACAATACTGCTTGCTGACTAGGACATGCGCTAGCTGCCGATTGAATTTATGTTTACAGATGGGTTAAGGGGGAAGGTGCTTAATTTTAATGAATGTAGAGAGGAGTGTTGACATAGCCTGTTAACCTAAGAGTTGCTAAGGATCTCGATGGAGACATGCTGGGATCCTTTCGATGACATCATGGTGACTCTGAAAGGCTGTATACAAACTCCAGCATCAAAAACTCACGGTATAAGGCTAGGGGAAAGATCTCATACTAAATTGGGCTGGAAAAAAAATCCCTTTTGTCAATGAGCTATGTTGGACTAATGTATCAGCTGGAGGAAGGTGAACTATGATGGTTTTCAAAGGCAACAATTTCTTTTTAATAATAAAGGGGGTGAGAAGGATAATCAAAACAAATTAAAAAACATAGAAAGAAAGAAAAAGAAAGAAAAGAAAAAGAAGCAGCAAACACCGGATGCTTAGAATTTCTAACCTGAAACATTAAAAAAATGTTTCTATATACTCCGCACAAGCATTCATAACATATTACATTCTCAGACACAGTCATTTCAGCACTAATATTAATTGTCCCCAGATTATCTTAAGATGCTAGGACTGACATTCAACCTTCTCTTGGCAAAGTCTTTTACTCTGCCCCCTAAAAGACATTCAACCTTCTCTTGGCAAAGTCTTTGCCCCCTAAAAGGGGGGGGGGAGGGAAGGACCCCTGTAGCCGAGAACATTTTAATGGTTTGGAATAGGACAAATTATCATAATAAAAGATCACATATCCATTCTGGCTAAACATGCCTCGTTTACTCATGCAATCATTCCGCTGGAAGGCTAGCAGAAGTAAAAGTGTGTGTACCAAGGGCGTAGACAAATGCACCATGCATGACAGCTTGGGTGTACTGCACAAGCACCACTTAAATGAATGGCAGTAGCGCAACAGCGGCGGCAGTGGCAGAGCAAAGGAGACAGTGCTGCGATTCGCACACGAGGTTGGACCACCGCAACATAGAAGCCGGTCTCATGCTCCACGAAAGCAATCAAAACGGAAGCCAAGATGCGGATTGGGTGACTGCTTAAGAGCTCATCCTTGGGGTCCTCTATCCACTGAAGTCAAAGTACTCAGATTTCCAAGTCCAGGATCATCCTCCCCTCCCCACAAGCCACAAAAATGCTCGTCTTATGAAAGCTTGACCACTCTTGAGAGGAATGGGCAGTGTGCGTCCTCTCGTTGTTGCATCAGCCTTCTTTCTATCTTAAGAGCAACTGGAATGTGACACATGGGTCCCGTTGTGCAAGGAGGTTGTGATAGGTAAATGTCCCATTCCAAGTCAACTTCGAGCCACATACACGGCATCAAGCAAAATTTTTCTAGCACCCACAGAAATAGGGAAATTGCAGATCACACAGGTGCACTACGCACTTGAACCTATCATATGGACTGAGGATTTAGTACTGCAGCTGTATCTTAAGTACAGATGTATCTTAAGTAGCATTTAATCCTTGGGAGCAACAATCACAGACAGATCACAGTGCGTTCACCATTAGCCAGGTCAATATGTCCTGGACAGATATTGTTTTTGTTTCTGTCTCTCTATCACCCCGGCTACAGAGCAATCAGGATACGTGTGGGAATTTTAAAATGATGGGGTGTAGTGTAACACTGAGGTGGACTGAGGGTGTCTGTCTCTTCAGATGTGGTTGGACTCCGGAGAAGCTGGTGTGTGTGATTTCATGGGGGCAGTGAACCTGTCCTGAGTGTGGGTCTGATCATTGTGAGAGCTATCCAATGGGCTGAACCCATTTTGAGGACAAGGTTCTGAAACTCGGATCGCTCATGGAAATTTCAGACTAAAACGGGGAGCACATTCACCACCCCCAGCAAAACAGTCATTAGAAGCTAACAGTGGACTACAGTTTCCATCATCCCGGCTAGGCACAGCCAAATATGTGTGGGGAAAGGCTGCACTGTGTCTTTCAGAGATGTAACACTTGAATGGGACTATAATAACAATGATGACTAAAACGGGGAGCGCATTCACCACCCCCAGCAAAACAGTCATTAGAAGCTAACAGTGGACTACAGTTTCCATCATCCTGGCTAGGCACAGCAAAATATGTATGGGGAAAGGCTGCACTGTATCTTTCAGAGTTGTAACACTTGAATGGGGCTAACACTTGAATGGGACTATAATAACAATGATAAAAAAATCTCTTACAATTAGCAAAGTCTAAGTACTTCAACTCAACTCAACAGATGTGTTTAGAAAACAGAACTAGAAACCCATCTGTGTGGCATCTTGTCATGTACTTCCCTTTTCCCTCGCTTAAAATGTCTTCCCCATGTTGCTGGATCAATTCAGGGCATCTTTAAACTCTGCTAGAACATAGTCAATGTGTTTGATCCTTAATGAGGATTTGATTGGTTTCTGAAAAACTAACATAAGTTAGAATCCAGGTGTTCAGAGAGCCGTGGGGTTTTGTTCTGGGCTATTAAACATGAGAAAAGAGCTCAAATATGTTATCGCTGGCCATGTGTAAAAGCAGTCAGAAGCACTTAATCACAAAGGCCTTTGCAACTTTTCAGTGCTTTGCAAAGAGTATGAATTTTATACAAGGATCACGAAAGTGAGAAACTGCATTGTTTTGTGGTCAAGTGGCCCCAGAGTTTGGAGATAACACCGTATAAACACTGTAATAATAATAAAAAAAATCTCTTACAATTAGCAAAGTCTAAGTACATCAACTCAACAGACCGATAGATGTGTTTAGAAAACAGAACTAGAAACACATCTGTGTGGCATCTTGTCATGTACTTCCCTTTTCCCTCGCTTAAAATGTCTTCCCCATGTTGCTGGATCAATTCAGGGCATCTTTAAACTCTGCTAGAACATAGTCAATGTGTTTGATCCTTAATGAGGATTTGATTGGTTTCTGAAAAACTAACATAAGTTAGAATCCAGGTGTTCAGAGAGCCGTGGGGTTTTGTTCTGGGCTATTAAACATGAGAAAAGAGCTCAAATATGTTATCGCTGGCCATGTGTAAAAGCAGTCAGAAGCACTTAATCACAAAGGCCTTTGCAACTTTTCAGTGCTTTGCAAAGAGTATGAATTTTATACAAGGATCACGAAAGTGAGAAACTGCATTGTTTTGTGGTCAAGTGGCCCCAGAGTTTGGAGATAACACCGTATAAACAACACCCTGCAAGCAAAAGATAATGAATTACTTGGCGGGGGCGGTCATTAAATGTAATGAAATGAAGGTACAAGAAGTGGGAATGTAGTTACTGTAATGTGTAATATTTTCCTAATTATGTATCAAAGTCACATTTAAGGGCATCCTCACAAACATCTGGAAAAGTCTTCATGTTTCCTATGATTCTCTTTCCCCTAAGTTTTCTTTAAGTAACAGAAATGTAATGGAAACATAAAGAATTACTTTACAAATGTTGTAAAGAGTTTAAAAATTACTTTGTAAATGCCTAAGACCAGCAATATGAGTGAATGAAAGGTAGTTATACAGAGGGTGGGCAGGATCTGTTCTGGATCGTCCTAAAGTGCAGGACATGTCATAAGGGGCTCAAGTCACAGGAATTCAGCTGAATCTCAGGAAAAAAAAACCAAAGAGTATGAATTTTATACAAGGATCACAAAAGTGAGAAACTGCATTATTTTGTGGTCAACTCTCCGGCCCCAGATAACACCATATAAGCAACACCCTGCAAGCAAAAGATAATGAATTACTTGGCGGGGGCGGTCATTAAATGTAATGAAATGAAGGTACAAGAAGTGGGAATGTAGTTACTGTAATGTGTAATATTTTCCTAATTATGTATCAAAGTCACATTTAAGGGCATCCTCACAAACATCTGGAAAAGTCTTCATGTTTCCTATTATTCTCTTTCCCCTAAGTTTTCTTTAAGTAACAGAAATGTAATGCAAACATAAAGAATTGCTTTACAAATGTAAAGAGTTTAAAAATTACTTTGAAAATGCCTAAGACCAGCAATCTGAGTGAATGAAAGGTAGTTATACAGAGGGTGATCTGATCTGATCTGCTTTGATTTGGATTCCTGCACTGAGCAGGGAATTAGACTTGATGACCCTTCCAACTCCATGGTTCTATGATCAAAAGTAAAATCTGACAGTCTGAATTGCACTGGGTTTTAGCCAATTAGGTTATGATTACACCTTATTCTGAATGGCTTTCTTTTTAGGATGGTGGTTCCCAGTCTTGGGTCCCAGATGTTCTTGGACCATAACCTGCTAGTTCCTGCACTGAGCAGGGAATTAGACTTGATGACCCTTCCAACTCCATGGTTCTATGATCAAAAGTAAAATCTGACAGTCTGAATTGCACTGGGTTTTAGCCAATTAGGTTATGATTACACCTTATTCTGAATGGCTTTCTTTTTAGGATGGTGGTTCCCAGTCTTGGGTCCCAGATGTTCTTGGACCATAACCTGCTAGCACAGCTAGTAACGAAGGCTCCCGGGTGTTTTAGTCCAAGAACATCTGGGGACCCAGATGTTTTAGCTTTGAATTACCTATTTCAGAACCCAAAGACTTTGGAGATGGTCATTGTAGGTTTTTCGGGCTCTTTGGTGGCCATGTTCTGGAGGTTCCAGAACATGGACACACAGCCCAAAAAAACTACGACAATCTGGAGGTTCCAGAACATGGACACACAGCCTGAAAAAACTACGACAATCATTGGATCCCAGCCATGAACGTCTTCGAGAATACTTTGGAGATGCTTTCCAACTCTACAATTCTGTGAACGTATGAGCTGCAGAACATGGCTCTTTGGGTGGTTTACCTTTTATGTTTAAATCTACAATCTAAACAGGAGAGCACCGTACCCCAAAATGGAAGAGTAACCCACCCCAACCTCTTGTTTTCAGGCCTGACTGGTTTTGCATGGAACTGGGACTCAGACTGGGACAGTTTTGCATGGAAGAGGACGATTGAACTCAGCTCCTTGT